ATGCTTGCAAAAAGCCAGAGGGTTTACTCACTTAGAACAAACAGCCCTTAGCCCCACCAGGATGTTTTTTTGGAGCTAAATCTACCACTCTGAGTTTCTGAGGGGGAGCAGCTAGTCCCTGTGGTTGCTCATGCAAAATTAGCCCTCAGGCTGAAAGGTGCCGTGTTAAGGTGTCCCGATTTGGATGCCATCTGTGCTGTAGCAAATCACTGATTAAAATCAGAGCTTGATATAAACATAATTAAGAGTGAAAATTATTATTTCACCTTTAGCTTTTAAATGAGAACAGAGGTATAACCTGATGAAGAAAAGAGATAATGGCCAGAAGGGGATATTCAGTGCTCTGTTCTTCAACAGTTTTGTTTCAGCAAGTAACCACTGTGAGTGTTCAGTAATTTGCATTTTGGCTAAAGCAGCTGCTCTGTAAAGATGTCCAACTGTGCTCAAAAACATCTGGACACGAGCTACCTGTAACTTCCCATGGGAATTAGCTTCCCTGGTTAACCACAGTCAATTTGAGAAGAAATGATGTCTTGTTTTCTGATTTCCATCAGTGCGGTTTCAGCTTCCCCTCTCTGTGGGCATTGCTAATGCAGGATGCTGCCCTGTGCTGCTGGCTCTGGGCCATGCCATTTGGGGTCCAAAGCAAACCTAGGTGCATGCACAGCTGGGAGGGGGGAAGGGCTTTGGGAATGGCACAGGCAGTGGCACAGGTTGCCCAGGGGAGCTGTGTGAGGAGGGTTGGAACTAGAGGATCTTGAAGGTCCCTTCCAACCAAAACCATTCTATCATTCTAAGATGACTTGAGGCTTTTTTGTTCATGGTTGGCATAGAGTTGTTGGCCAGGAGGTGTGGAATGCTTATCTTAAGTTCAATGTAAACACTGAATGGCAATTCAACTGCTTCTTCTTCTTGTTCTCTGGGCCCTGGAGAAACAGTGTGTAAAGCTCTCCTTGCATTAACAGGGTTTCCTTTGCGGAGCTGGACTTCTGTGTTGGTAGGTGAGAGGATAACCCTGATGTTGCCACATGTCTGTCAACAGAAACACCCAAGGAGGCTGTAAAAAATTATTTAAATAACATATTTATAAAAAGCCTGCCTGCTGCTCTGAACACCCCACTACTGAGCCCCATAACATTTCACCTGGTTGAGGGTTGTGCAACCACATGCCTGGTTCCTGCTTTGTCTTCTCCTTGGCTGATCCTCTGCTTTGCAATGTGATATCAAAGCCCTCTCCTGTTTAGTGGGAGCAGAGCTGAAGGGCAGCAGATCCTGTCCTTTGGAACAAAGTGTTTTGTCTGACCTGGAGGCAGGCAGCTGTAGGATCTGAAAGCAAGGAGGCTTTGCTCCTGGCCAGGCTGCAGCCTTGCATAGCACAAGCTTGGTGAGCCCATACCAGCCACCCAAGGAGCCTCTGAGCTGGAAGGCAAGGAGAGGAAGATGTTTGGAGGGGAGGAGGGAAGAGCCTTTCAGCAGGTATTTGGTCCTGGCCAGTGCAAACACTTTCAATCCTTCTCCCTGTTGCAGTTCTTAGAGCCATGGCTGTTAGCAGCTGGCAGGAGCTGGAGCACCTGGGTGATGCTGGAGGTGAAAAGGGGAGTCCACAACACCCCCAAGTCATAAGTCTGGCTCAGTCTTCCAACAAAGTGGTTTTTTTGTTTAACTCCTTCATGGCAGGAGTGAGGTTGGAATCAGACCACTGTTAATAAAAATTCGTGCTGAGTGGTGAGTGCAGATTCCCCTCCCTGATCACAGGCAAACACATGCATATGCAAGTGTAGAGTTGTTAATTCAAATCAGGCATGAAAACACCCACTTCTTGCGCTCCTGGAGCAGCTGAGCTTGGTCCAAGAAGGCAAAGAGTAATTAGACAGCCTTTGGGCATTTTAACGTGGCAGAGGTGAAGTTCAGCCTGGTAAGCATGAAACGCTGCAAATTAGCGAGAGTAATGAATTTTAACGCTGCCCTAAGAACATTCCCTCTGCCCCTTCCTTTTAATTATTTTGCAAGGTGTTTTATTTATTATTTGTTTGTTTTTCTAAATGATCCTGAACAGTGTCCCTTCCCCTTCTGCTTGGCATTTCCTTTGCAACTCAAATCCATCTAGAGGCTGTCATGTGAGAGTAGCCCTGCAGCGAGGACAGATGGCTGGCAAGGTGACAGTCACTGTAGGGTGGGATAGCAGGGCAAATTTCAGGCAGATCTGGGCGTCAGAAAGGCTGGAACTCCTTGGCTGAGATGACTGGCTCCCTGTTCTCATAGGGATGGACATTGCACAGAGTGTCTTGTGAAAGTCAGTGTTGCAGCGATCACTGGAAAGCACAGCTCCAAGGTGCAGGGTGTAGCAGTAATTTTATGAATGAGCAGCCAAGTGCCAGCCCTTGGCCATGGTACAGGCTGCAGAGAAGCATCCAGCATCTCCTACATCAAACCTAAAATTCCTGCCTTTAACTTGAGCATGGCTATTAGAAAGGCACCAGACCTCCCTCCTCCCTTCCCTTCCAGGCTCCCTTCCTAATCCCACTGGTTCTTTCTGCACAACCTCCCATGGAAATATCCTCTCATGTCTTTCAGCCCAGTTCATGCACCAGTCCAGGCAATTCATCTTGCATGTCAGCTCACAGCACCTTCCTCCTCTCTCAGCCTGTTGTATTCCTGCAGAAGGCAGTTGCCAACCATCCTTTCCCAGCACTGCTGCTTTCCCCGTGTCTCTTTAGCATTGAGTGCTATCACTGTGAAGGTCTTGGCCTCACTGTCACTCAAAAGCAGCTTGTTCTGTGCCAGATGTCTCCATGACCTCCCTGGGTAAATCTCCCTTATTTTTCACCCCTTCTTCTGCTGGAGATCTGAAGGCCAGTGCCTTCCCTGGCCCTCTTAGCAGGGCGGATTCCCTGACTGCCCAATGAGGCTGCCAGCCTTTCCACAAGGAGTAAATTTGGTGTGTTATTTGGGGGTTTATGTGACCGTGTTCACAGGGGTCTGAGGATGAGGGAAGAGACGAGGATCTGACTCCATGTTTCAGAAGGCTTGATTTATTGTTTTATGATATATATTATATTAAAACTATACTAAAAGAATAGAAGAAAGTATTTCATCAGAAGGCTAGCTAAGAATAGCATAAGAAGGAATGATAACAAAGGCTTGTGTCTCGGACTGAGAGCCCGAGCCAGCTGACTGTGATTGGCCATTAATTAGAAACAACTGCATGAGACCAATCACAAATGCACCTGTTGCATTCCACAGCAGCAGATAACCATTGTTTACATTTTGTTCCTGAGGCCTCTCAGCTTCTCAGGAGAAAAAAATCCTAAGGAAAGGATTTTTCAGAAAATGTCATGGCTACAGGTTTATATCAGGCCATTTATTTTTAAGGCTTTTCTGAGGGCAGGTGATGCACTTGGGCCTCTTTGTATCATCTGGGATGCTACAAAGCATCTGGTACTGATGGGAGGGAGAAAATCCCCGTGAGCTGCTTTTGCAATTCCTCCTCAGTAGCACAGGTCTGTGGAGCAGCCAGCAAGGGGATTATTTTGGGTTCACTTAAGCTCTGAGTGATGAGCACTTGTGCTGCTAATCAAGCTGATAAATGTTGTCAATTAAAACCTGTGCTTTGCTCTTCAGCTTTCCATAAGTGAAGTGTTTTTGTCTCTCCCAGAGGAGAGAAGGCTGGCTGGGTGGGCAATGCTCCTGGATCATCAGAATGGGCATTAGTTAGCTCTCAGACCCCTACTTTCCTTCTGCTAATCCTAGTGGCTCATTAACAAGGGATGTCACACTGCTGCTTAAATTGGTGCCAGCCATCAGTGATCAAATAATCCTTGGGATTTTGGGTGCTTACAAATTAGCTGCTTCTGATTAGCCATTATCACAACTTCATTATCCCACCTCGTGTTGTGATACCACAGCAAGCATATGGTTTCTATATGTCTCACCAGGAGGGATGAGAGGTCAGCCTGCTGGATGCATCCACCCACTGGATGGAGCACCCTTAGTTTTACCATGTTGGAGACTAAAGCTGGGATTATGTCACTTAGGAGCGTGCTTTAGCGGTGGGCTTGGCACTGCTGGGTTGGTGCATTGGTGTCCTTAGAGGTCCTTTCTGACCTGAATGATTCCATGCTTCCATGGTTATGTAGCACAAACATTCCCATTTCTTTAGGAAACCACACTAGATATTTCCAGACTGAGGTCACTAATGGCCAGCTTTTGAAAAAGGACATCCCATTTTGGGGAGAGATAAGGATTGTACATAGCTGTTAAAAATAAATACAGAGAAACTTTATGGAAGGAGTTCTGGAAGAAGTCTGTCATTAGGTAGTGGGGAGCTATGCAGAGCACTCCTTTTCCTTGTGCCTGAGCAAAGGGGTTGGTACCAGTGACCGAAAGGCAGGGGTGGTGGAGAAGTGCTGATCTCTCTCTGGGGGGCATTTGAGCAATGGTTTCCTGCTGTTGGCTGGGTTGCTAAATGCACATCTCTGCCCTGGAAGCAAGACGCTTGTCAGGAAAGAATAATTAATCCAGAAACACGCAGCGCTCTGCCAGGAGACCTTTTTTTTAATTAAAAACCGATCTGATAAAGTCTGCTGAGAAATTGGTGTCTCTGACAAAATCATGGAATGCACAGTTTTGTGAGTTGAGGCTTTGTGGTGGGGTGCTCTGGGTAGGGCTCAGCCCCCACAGCTGTGCACACCCATCTTGCAGGGGGTGTCTCTTCCTCCTTTGCCTCTGAGGGCTGTGTTTTTCCCAAATGAGTTAGAAATTTGTTGGGAAGCAGGGCACCAGTTATTATCTACCGCTATGCCTGGTTTGGTGTCGTTTTGCCAGCTTGGGGGATAAATGGGAGTCCCCAACCCAGACGGATCAACAAGGTACTCTTGGGCTCAGAGCTGGTTGTCTTCAGCCACCATGTCTTGGTGCTGCCACTCAAGAGTGGCAGAGGAGGGTTGAGTGTCTGTGGGCAGACCGTGCCCTGTCTCATTGCTGCTCTGCCTGTCCTCCAGAGCCGGTGGGGAAGGATGTTTTCCTCAGTGAAGCCCTACGAGAACCAGCACTACGCCTCGCTGAAGAAGGAGTGCCAGCGGCGGAAGCAGCTCTTCGAGGACCCGCTCTTCCCCGCCAACGACGACTCCCTCTTCTACAAGTCAAGGATTCAGGGCATCCAGTGGAAGCGACCCAAAGTAAGTGCACCATCCTCTTGCCCCCTCAGCACTGCTTCCTACCATCTCTGCTCTCAGGTGCTCCAAAAAATGCACAGTGCGCCCTTCACCAAGGCTGTCAAGCCCCAGTCAACATCTACTCTCCCCAACAGCATTTATTTATTTACCCAGACCTGATATTGTGAGCCTCTAGGGTGCCAGGCAGACCTGCTGCACTCAGGTCCAAGGTTCTCTGCATCCAGTGAGGTCCAAGAGCAAAGGAGGCTTTTCTGTGACTCAGTTTCCCCATGCATAAACCAGAGAGATGGTTTGCAGCTGGGTCGGTGTTGTGTACTGCTGTAAGGCTGGTGGGTCCAGCAAGGCAGAGTGTTATCTCTGAATCAGATAGAGTTTGAGTTGGAAGGGACCTTAAAGAACTAGTTCCACCCCTCCTGCCAAGGACAGGGACAGCTGCCACTAGAATACTCTTGGTGGTCCATTTGGAAGGGGAAAAGATAAGCTTTGGGTAGGTGAGATGGTTTTGGGATCTTTGGAGGAGAGGGTGGTTATACCCATCCTTCCTCTTCTGTGCAAAAACCTCTGTGCTGCTGTGTTGTCGTGAAGGCAGGTTGCAGGAGGCTGGGGATGACATTGCCTGTCCCCAGCATTGCCAATCCCTCTTCTGCTGTCCTCAGTGCCAGCCCAAAGGATACACATCAGGACCTGCGGGCAGTATGGGGAATTTGTATGTCTTGTTATGGCTGTCTGCTTGGAGTTGCCCATGAGAGCAGTGCTCTGACTGCCAGGAAGCACAGGGAGTCCCAGGGAGCAGTGATAATTGTGGTTAGGGAGTGGCAGTATGCCAGCATCTCACACACCTGGGTTTCCTTCCCTCCCTGTGGGGAGCAGCAGCCCTCTCTGCCCAGCCTGTGCTTTTCCACACGTGACTTGGTGGCATTTGAGTGTTGTGGGGGTGCCTGAGCTGCCGTCATTGTCTTCGCCCCCGCTGACAGCCCAGAAAATCAGCTGGCCTTGCACAAGACAGTGCTGTGTCTGTCTGGGTGAGGGCAGTCTGGAGGGGGTGCACAAAAGGCTTTGTGTGCAGGGAGAGAGGGAGCTGAACTGACTCTTGTTGTGTGGCCAGAGGGGCTGAGCCCTCCAGCATCCCACTGGGCGCCTTGTGGGAGGAGACCTCACTTCCCTCTGCTCTGCCTTTGTGTCTTCCACTCCAGCTCTGCCTGGACACAGGATTTGTGCAAAGCCCTCTGTGTGTTTTGGTTTATTCCCCTTGTCTGCTGGAAGGAAAAGAGGCTTTGTGCACAGCTGCCTTCTGAAGACAGGGCTGACATGGTTTGGTCTTACTGTGGGGGCCAGCATGAATACACTGTGCACATCCCATTTATACAGCAGGCAGGTGATAGCTGAGACTTTCTGAACAACTTTCTCTGGGACTAAAAGGTGGGGATGCATTTGAGACCCCCTTGCTGATTTGCACTCAGGTCACACGCATTACTTCAGCCGTATGTCTAGAGACAGAGGGTGGGATCCCTTTGCAGAGGGACAAAGATTCCTTGTGTTCTGCTGAGCATCTCAGAGTTTTTCTCTATCTTCTTTTCTGCCTTTCATCTCACTTGCAGCCCTTGGTGTTCAGGCAGGTATTATCCTCTTGCTGCCTTGCTCTGCAGAGCATGAGTTCGTAAAAGCTAAGAAAGCTTTCTGAACCTCATCTGCTTTCTGAACCTCATCTGCAAGGTGTCAAGCTCACCTAGTTCAGACCCATCCCTGCTGAAACTGAGAGTGAACTCAGACTTTTTCCAGCCGCCCAGCTCTGCGGTTTCTTAGGATCATAGAACTGTTTGGGTAGGAGGGGACCATTAAAGCAATTAGCATAGAATGTTGAATCAGGGCTCTTTCTGTCAGTAGGAATGGAGGCTGGAAGTGGGTCCCATGTGCCAGCAAGGTCCTGTGGCTTAACAAGGCACAGAGGTGGTCCTTGTTTTGCTGCCTGTGCACCAGATAAAGGGAATTTTGCCAGCAGTTTGGGTGCCAGAAGGAATGCATGCTGAGCAGTGGCAGACTCATGATGCCTCTGTCTGGTAGGATTGTTTGATCCAGCCTACTCAGCTGCCTTGACCACAGAATCACCATTAAAAAAAGAATATGAGCTCACACCTGCCCTGTTTGCTGCTGAAGTTTCGAGAAACCTCTTTCTCAAAAGCATTTCTCTATGTTCTTTCTCTCAATTGTTCATTTCAGCAAAAGTAACTCAATTTCACAGGGAGAATTGCTTTGTGCCAGCAGAAAATGCAAAATGACATTTTTAGTTGCTGGACCTGATTCTGCCTGAATTCATACTGGCTTTCCAAGGGAGGGAGTCCAGGAAAAATGTCAGCATCTTCTGCAAGAAAGCAATCACTATCAGCTTTTCCAAGCTAATGCAGGATTCAGTAGAGTCCAAAATGTCCATGAAGCTTAAATCAACTGTTCTGCTTGTGTGCTATTGAACGGCATGGCGCAGTTATTAAACCACAGAAACATCTTGTTTCTATTACAACCAGCAAATCTTATCTTAGGCAATCACAGTTGAATCTCTTTCAGAAAAAAACAAGTGGTGATACTCCCAGCTTTTGGCAGATGCTGTTTTGGGGATTTCCTTACCAAGAAATGGAATCCCCAGTCCCAGGAATACTGTTTACAGGGAAGGGATGTTGTGCACACACTTTTATCTCTCAGGGCCATGGCCATGGGTTGTTCTGGAGTGTTTGAGGTAAAACTGTGATAAAACATAAGAGCTCATAGTGTCTCTGGCTTTGCTGTGAGAACAGAGTGGGTGGAGAATGGAAAGAAATGCTGTCCACTATTAAAAACAACTGCTTGCTTTCTCAGAAAAGTTGTCATCTGTGATCTACAGAAAGAAATCAGACTTAGGAGATAAATTGTACCCTGAGAAGATGTAGCTGCTGTATTCCTGGAAGTGTTCAAGGCCAGGTTGGATGGGCTTTGAGCAATGTGGTCTAATGGAAGATGTTCCTGGCCACAGCAGGGCAATCAGAATTAGGTGATCTTGAAGGTCCTTCTGAATGAAAACCATTCTGTGATTTTTCAGATAAAGCACTTGCATGTGAAAAGCAACCACAGTGTACTCACTGGGGTGCTGGGAATGTGCTTTGGCAGAGGCAGGATCTCATTTCCTCATACTTCTGTGGTGCTAGTACGGATCTAAACAGTCCATCCTCCATGTGTGCATCTCTGCCTCCCCAGCTGTTCTTCCAGCATCCTCCCTGTTCCTCCATGCACTCCCAAAGCTTGAGGCTGCTTTGGTAAAAAAACCCCAGCAAAACAACAAAACCCCCAATCTCTGCAGTTCTTTCCCTTTTGTTTGTGATTTTTCTGGGCAGAGGGGAAAGGGAGAGGATGAGGAACAGCTCTGGTCCCTTCCATGGTCAGGCTGTTTTGCTTCGACTTCCTCCTGCATCCGGCACTGCAGCCTTTCCTGGAACAGGCTCAGCCTTATTATTTCCAGCAGGGTGTCCTCCCTCCCTCCCTGCTTTCCTTGGCCTCCAGCCCTGCTCTGGATGCCAGATCTTTGCAGAGGGAGCAGCTGTTTGAGCCCTCTAATCGTGTTTTGGCTCCGGTGGTTGTTTGCTGGACGCCTTCGTGATGCGGCCCGGCGAGGCCAGGAAGCCAATTACTGGAGTGCTTCGGAGGGAGGGAAACCACAGCATCAGCCTGGGCAGGGAAGGGGGTCCTGGAGAGCCCTGTCCAGTGAATCCACTTAAAAACAAAGCTGGCTGCTCCTTGCCTTGCCAAAGCGGATTGTGGAGATCACTCAGGCAGCATCAGCAGCTCCTTTTGGCAGCAGCACCCGGCTGCTGCATTAGAAATGAAACAGAACTTTTGAGCTTAGCTCAAATCCCAACACCTTGCTTGAAACTTCTTTCCCTTGTGCTCTGTATGCTGCTGTGTAAAGAAGAGGGAAATCTGTATCCAGCAAGCAGTACCACTCCCTGTGGAAATCTCAGCCTGGTTCTCAAGCTGAGTTTTGCCCTCCCTTTTTGGGACAGGAGTGCTGGCAGCACACCTTGGAAGTGAGAGGTTTGGTCTGTGCTTTGGGTGAGCTGGTCTGGATGGCTGGGAGGTGGGTAAAAAAGAAGGGGTGGCACAAAGATGAGTAGAAGGGGGTGAATGAGGTGCAGGATGGATGGCAAAAATAAGGGGAGATTTGGGGCATCTGCTGTGTCTGCTGATCCCCTGTGGAAAAAATGATGATGGTGTAAGGTATCTTATCTATAGATCTATAAATCTATAGAGTCTCATCTGGAGATTCATCTACCCTGTGGGGAAAGAGTTAATCTCTTCTAATCATCACTGTCCCAAGTTCTCTCCTTGGGTACAGAGTGCTTCCATGATGCTATGGGATTGCTGCAGGCTTTGGTTAGGGTCTGCCTTTAACACCTCTGGGCCTTACCCAGGGCTTGTTTTCTCTCTGCAGCAAGAGGGACACTGGGTTCAGGTTCAGCCTGCCAAGCTATGACCTGCTGCTGGGATGGGTCACCAGCCAGCACAAATTTGGGCATCCCTGCACCTGTGGGAAGCAAATGAAGCCTGGTGGATGTGGCATCCACAGCTTCTCAGTACAGCCTGGTCCAGTGTCTCACCACTCTCACAGGGAAGAATTTCTTCCTAATACCTAATCTAAATCTACCCTATTTCACCTTAAAGCCATTCTCCCTTGTCCTATCACGCAGAATATATTACATCCATTGTCTCCTGGACTGGATGCTGTTGTCTTTGGAGGAGGTGCTGCAGGATGGGAGAGCATCTCTTAGGCTTACATCATGCACAGGTGTGATGTTGAACTGCAGGAGCTGCATGCTCTGGTCCTTCAGCTCTTCCCAGGGAGCAAGGCTGAGCATGGAGATGGTGTTTTCCTCCCTGTTCTGGGAGGCAGGTGGGCTGCTGTGTGCTGAGTGTATTCCTGTCCAAGCAGTGTCACAGTGACTGCGTGGCTCAAAGTCACCTATGGTCATTGTTGAACCTGA